CACTTACAGCTCGAGCCTGCAAGGCTTTGAACCGATTCATTCTCTCGCGCGCTTTAGATGCAGCGTCATCCTTTGTTTCATCTGTTTGGGTTTCGGCCTTGTCTTCTGAAGTTGCGACAGGAGATTCGCTCGTGTTCTCGGTCGGTTGCTCAATGGACTGCTCTTGGCTCGCCTCGTCCTTGGCGGATTTATCCGCATTTCTGGTTCGAACCATGATTTCCTTGGGTTAATCAATAGGTAAATAGCAGCTATGGATAGAGAGCGGTAATTGTTTTGTTGGCAGCTAGGTTGATAAGAAATGGAAGGTGGTTGAAGATGAAATAAAAGCGCGAATGCGGTCAATTACCGCCTCCCACACCGCCCTTGATCTGCTGGCGAAACCCCAGACTTCCACCCCTTATCGGGCCGTGTTTATCTTCTCCACATCTTCTCGGATCAGCTTTACTCTAGTCGACATGGGAGGGCTGCACAATCGGTTGTTGCTGCTGCAAGCCAGGCAACGGCTTAACACTGGGAATTTTCTGTCACGGCAATTGGTGCGCAGTCTCTATCCCGCAACGATTAAACGACCACATGACCCATCACCATCTGAAATGCTTCGATTCGCCTTAAGAGATTCCACTGAGCCAATTCATGACTCGAATGTTAATGAGGTCTTATCTGAATACCTTCGTGGAATTTTTATCACCGAGTGGAAGTTGAATACTCCGCCTCCCCCGTTGTGGACCTCCCTCAAAGGGCCTACATCGCGGAACCAAGAGTTGTTGTGGGATTCCAATAGCGACATCGCCGATGTCTCTTCCTTGCGGAGTCTAATTGAGAGATATGTCAACGACAGACATGGAGCAGAGATTTTGCAGACTAATAATTGTTTACCATTACATCACGCTTTGCGACGCTGCCAACGTAACAACACATTGGCAGAAATCCTCTCGGTGCTACCTGACTTGTTTGCAAGGCTGAAGCATCTCCAGCTTCCCATCCGGCCTGGAATGTACACTATAGCGTTATACTTTGCATCTCTTGATCTTTCGCCTTCTGATCTCAGGTATTTCTTGGATGGCCAACACCACATGGGCGCTCCAGCTCTAAGTCTCAAGGAAAGTCTGCGGATAGTCCGATATTGCTCTGAAGCACTTGACTGCAAAGTTTTTGAAGACCCATACTATGACCCCGATCCCATTCTTGCCGAGATTACAGGCGAAGGAGAATTTGTGACCGAAAATCGCAATCTGCATGATACCTTGTTCTGGACGCAATCTACTGATCAAATCGGCAACCGATTCAATTATGAGACCAAAGCCCAGGATTATATCTGTTTACTTACTAGGCTTGGTAATGATGAAGTGCTTCACAGATGCTGGTCTCATTTCTTGAAGAACATTCAACCTATCAACTATCAGAGCTGCATCGCTGCCTATCAGGTAGTGTTGGCTCTGGTCCAAAATATTCAGTCCGAAACAGCGGTGAAATGGTTGGAAGATATCTCTCAACATTGTGGTGATAACCTGCCATTCATTGCGAAGTTCGCGGACATTCGATTCCTCCTTAATGACCCTGTTATAAGCGAGGCACTACCTGACCTAGTGAGGGGAGAGGACTACCTCGAACTACTTGAGTTTTGTCTTGAGGACATGGATCGAAGGATGGGTGTTGAATGGAGCCCCGAGAGTCAAAGTCATTTCATTACGGCCTTGGACCCAATCTACGGAGCATTTGGTGATCAGCCTTTACCCAAGACTGATAACAAATATGTTGGCTCTGATCATGGCGGGCAATTGTATGCAGAGCTTCGCGTTCATGGCTGCTTCAAGTCTCCGGCTGCACTGGCCAGGGTCGTAGATCTGTTGAATGACTACGATGGACAGTCCCAGAAGATCATCACTCATCTTGATTACAATCCGGCACGGCTTAATGAATTTCGGTCCAAATTTGAATCTCTGGAACTCCGATGGGTACCAGAACACTCACCGATTGAATTCTCTAACTCCCGGATTCCGGCGATACGTGATTTTTCTGGGCCTATGACCCCATCTACCCTAGGCCTTATTCGGGCTCGTTTGATCATTCATGGAGTTCCTCAAATGGGGATCGACAATTTACATTTGATGCAACTCGGCTGCATGGATATGCGGTATGGTCCAGACCAACCATGGCAGCCATCTGGATATATCGTGGTTTGGGACCGTCATCACAGGGAACTCCTCGGGCTGTATGTTGGGCAGAACACTGGTGTCATTAACTGTGGAGCACCTTCGGATGGCCCTCTTGGTGCCTTGATGCATCTCTCGCTCTCAACCAATCCTGACGAGCGAACATTTTATCTTAGGGGCAAGCGCACTCATTCTCGGAACTGCTGGGGTCCTTACTATCTGGATGTAGATCCAAGTGCAGATCTAGAGTATTGAGCGTTTTCCTACAGCTCTGTGAGATACCCATGAAATAATGAAATCATGAAAATGTCATTTGGACACTGAGATGACTGGATGTTGTTATGAGTGAGCGGTGATGTGGTTCGGCAGAATTCAAATGTACCACAACGTTGTAGTCACCGGACATATCCTTTTCGGCTACTCTTCCATCTCCAATATCACTTCCATATTCTCAACAAACGGAAACTCTACGATATTCTGCCTCCTTCGACTAGAATCCAACGGAGATCCTACCCATGTACCCTATGCCCTATGCCTGGTCGGCCTGCTTCCGGCGTCCTCGGAGAGTGACATGCACTGAGATTAATTTTCCCTGCATTAGAGTCAAGCCACCCAAGCCATTTTCAATATCAAGTATTGTCCGTAAGGATGGGGCACACCATCGAAGTCTTGGATGTGCCTGGCTACGAATGGTAATTTGTCGGAATATCTCTTCCTATTCTGGTTTACACTTCTCTCCTGCAGCACACAGCAACAGTAACCGCAGATCAGCAACGCTCTTGAGGCAGTTATTGCAGGGAAATATAACAGCCAGCGTAGCCACACTTCTACGTGGCGGTGCATACTGAAAAACCTTGACTTGCATAGGTTCTCAGTCGCGCTATATCATAGGACAATTATCAACCACCAAGTACTGCAGTGGGGTCACTGTGATCTGCGTCTAGCCCCAAGTCGACGCATGAGAACTGACATGGAAGCTCACGGGGTCTTAGTTCCTACACCTGCCGATGAAGTTTCAAACGGTCACCCTTGACAACTCCTGCATTTGCAGGTCGAAGAATTCCAATCCCATTATTGGGACAGATCAATTCTTCCAACATTGCAAAATCTTCAAGAATAGTCCACAGCATTGGCAACGCATATGATATATGTAGCCACAATTTACCCATCCATTATTCTTACAATAGACTGTATCTAGCGCCTGGGCCCATTTGAGTCCGACTAACCTTAGTTCGTTCGCCTTCGCCAAATTGCAGCTGCCTCGCCGATCGATCTGACAGCAAACGATCATTGCCCTATCCCCAATTGGAACTGGTGTCAAAGTCCGCCCGGAGACCCATGATTTGGGGGGTGGGGGGTGCAATGGTAAGTGCATTGTCCTGGAATGTTAATTGACCTTGAATTCCAGGAAAGGTATCTCGTGAACTTGCTAGTTTATATGCGTCTGTGTTTCCTCCGAAAGGGCTTACTACTTACCACTGTCGAAAGTATACTCCGGGACTGCATCATATACCAGGATCAGCCCGCCATCACGGTGAGTCCCGCTTCCAGATTCCCTGTTGTGGGGGGAGGGGCAGATCTTTTTTTTTTGAAGGATTGCCAAGCAACGGTTGAACGCCAATCACCGCGCCTCACGGCAGCTTCCCAGCTCCAGCCACTTGGGATTTGAAAACCGGGTCGATACCAGCTGGCTGCTGCGAAGGCTTGTCGGTCAGCATCCGGCAAACCTGCTGTTCTGTACTCTATAAAGCGGAGATCTGAGTTTTCTGCTCCAAAGCCCGTTACACCGGGGACACTGTTTATCATTTTCGACGGACTAAGACACGGCAGTCCGCCCTATGGTCCAATTTGTGGCCCACTGCGGAGTACTACTCCGTAAATCGGTTCGCAAAAAGGCATCATTCCACGACAAGGACTTTGTTACTTTGCCTCGTTTTTTGACCCCATTAGCAATATCCTGATAGGTCAAAACAGACAACCCGTATGCCGACACGAGATACTTCAGCGCACCCCGGTTCCCAGGGAAAGCTTTCCAGCTGTACACGCGAGTTCCACAATGCAGAACAGCTTCCACTCATATTCGATTGCCTGACCGTCTTTCAAGAGACCAAAGACCCCGAGTCGGGGACCATTTTTTCTGCCAGGAACAGTGCCAGTCCATTTAGTTCATATAGCTCCTCCACGCACCATTTCCCATGGAGGCACAGCCCACACACCTATGTCCGCAGCAGACGCCTTAGCACTGGTTTCCCCTTCTTGTGGCAAAACCCGCTCGGCCCGTTCCCCCGGCTCTTCCCTTTCTCATCATCGGTGGATACAGCGCCAATCGTAGAGCATCAGTCGAGGATGTGTTTCTACTAGAACAAGAAGAAGTATACTGTTGATGCCATTTGCTATTCGCCCTCGGTCCCTGTCATATTCCAGCCCTCGGGTGATTGGACAGCTCGGGAAACCCGGACAGGAGTGTTTAAATTTTGCGCTGTGCGTGGACCTTTTTTTCGGTCCCTGAGGAAAATCGGTGGCCAACGAATACCCCCGAGGGAAGTATAGACCCAATCTCACAGGGCCAACGAAGAAAAGAATCATACTGAAGTCGTGTCATGAGGCATTGCTGTTAACCGGCTGCATTCACATGCGGATTATCAGATGCCTTCATTGACCGAATATGTTTATCTTTCCCATTCAACCTATATAATTATATCTGGGACATTGGCTCTGTTCTGATCGTGATTATCTGATCGCTTTGTGCGTTATATTCAATGCCTCATCTGAAACCAACCCGAATACGGCAATATCTAAACTAGAACACAAGGACCACCTGTCGGCACTTGCGCAAATCTCCGATAGATGTCGAGGCCACCGCCACAGCAATGTGGGAATTCCACATCGGAGCGGCCATACATCGAATCGGTCCCCCGCACTCAACACCGCGGCCCGATACCTATGCCCTATCCGTACCGACAGGAACCTCGACAGACCATACCCCAGAGCACGAGCTATGAGCACCCTATGCACGGGGCACCCATTGGCCCAAGGCTTCCTGCCTTGGTTGTTCCCGAAAGAAACGCAGATCCACGATATATGCTCTCGTCCGACAATGCCTACCTGAATACACAACATATGCCCCAAACGCTCCCTCTGCGATCCCACCACCAAACTCCTGGAAGCTCTGATGCCCGTGGTTACTACAACCCATACGAAGAGAGAACGTACCCAAGTTCGAGCCATGCCCGTGACTATGATAGTCACCGGAGCTGGACATACGACGTGGAGTCCCAGTAAAGTCCCTCTCTTTTCGTTTCTGTCGATTAAACCACCTCTATCTGTCAGTCATCCGTCCTGATGCGATGTCTTTGGCTTGAGAATTTTGAACACAATCCTCCTCTCACGTCACATCTGTGACAGGTTACACAAGGCAGGGAGACATTCGATCAAGCGCCACATTCTAACCGCGAAATTCATATAGACACAGCAACAGTTCCACGGCCATGCCTAGCCCCGTCTGGTCAGACAAAAGTGCAGCTACGCACGCATTCAATCCTATACTAGCCAGTACCCACCAAGATCCGAAACCACAATCCCGAAACGCGAACTACAGAATGCCACATGGCTTCGACAAGCTCCTCCACCATGACCCAGAGCCGCAATCACCATCACCCCCTCCACCACCCAGACGACCATCCACCGAATCCAGATACCATCTCCACATCCGGCAACAGCCCATCGCCGCACGAGCCTGTGGCGCAGGCGACAGAGACCGCCGCCCCGTCGACCCACCTCCAATCGTGCAAATCCTTCTTACCGACTTCGACTCGAACTCCCAGGAAGACCGAGATCTCCTCCAAGACCCCCGCTTCACAGTGGGCTGTCTACTATTCCCCGTCTCACCCTCTTTACCATGGGCCGAGCCAACAGAAACACATCCGCGCGAGCGCGACCAGAATCGAGATCAAGATCGGAATCGCGATAGAGAACGAGAACGAGAACGAGAAAGAGAAAGAGAAACGGACGGCGTCGCCCGTACAGACGACAACTTCTCAACCCCATTACTGTCCGGCAAAGCCTTCATGTCCCCCTTCTACGTCGACGCCGACCCAGACCCCAACTCCGCACCCGCACACCCTTCCTCCATAACCGATCCCCATCTAGACAACCCCCCTCACCACGCCTACAACAATGCCGCCTCGCGCCTCCACCAACCAGCTACCTTTTTCATCTTTGCGGATCTCTCGATCCGCTCGGCGGGCCTCTATAGGCTCCAGTTCCGATTGATGAATTGGGGCTCTGTTGAGGATACGGGGCAGTCGATGCCGATTCTTGCGGAGGCATGGTCTGATCCGTTCCGTGTGTATCCTGCAAAGGATTTTCCGGGGATGAGGGATTCGTCGATTCTTGCCGAGGGGTTGAAAGAGCTTGGGTTTGTAGAGTTGAAGACGAGGGGGCATGGGAAGGGAAAGGGGAAAAAGAGGCGGTGATTAGTTCTTTTCTCTTCTCCTGTTGTGTTGACATTATCATCCTTCGAATATCTTGATTGTTGGTTTGGAGTCTGTGAATGGCTTTCTCTCGGGTTTGGCATGAGGAAAGGAAATTGGATTCGAGGATGAAACAGGGATGGCGTTTGATTCTTTCCTTCAAGCATGACGACAGTTCTGGTATCTTACTGGCATTTTGGTTTCTCATTCTGTCGTTTCAGCTTGGGATACGAGCTATATAGAAGAAAAGGTATCAACCAAAGGCCCAAAAAGAAACATTGCTATGATACATGGTGGAATACAGGCCAAAAAATTTACAGCAGAGATATAAGTACAACAGCTCTAAACCACCTACGCAAGCTTCAACAGCTTAGGAGGCAGACCAGGGTTGAATGTCCGGTCTTCCCACTTATCCTTCATCTCCGCCAGGCTTTTCTTCGACAACGAGGCCGGAAGACCCTTTCGAGCAGCAAGCTTGTACATCTCACGGCTCTTCTCCATCTCGCCATCCTCGCGCAGGAGCAAGGCCAAGATATACCCAGCCTCGTTGTTCCCTCCATCAAAAGCAAGCTCGTACCAATCCATCGCGAGCTTGCGGTATGTCTTATGATCCTTGGGTTGGTTGAAAAACGTAACAACCCCACTCGCTATAGACTCAAAGGGTTTCAACCAGGCGCTGCGCGCAGCATTAGCATCTTCCCTCTCTTTTGCCTTCCTCTCTGCTTCGGTGGTAAATTGGCCTTGGAAGGTGAGGTAATAGAAATTAGCAATGTAAAAGCTGGCTGCAATATTTCCCCACATTGCAGCGCCACCCATGAACGCCTCGTACGTCTCGTACTTGTTGGGGGCCTCCGTTTCCAACACGGAGATGGCGAAATCAGCCATGGCGATCGGGTCGTGAAACTCCGTGGCGGCTCGCGCAGTGGCCTTCAGGATACCCGCTAGACCCTGTTCCTTTTCAATAGCCACAGCGTACATCCGCCAGGGCGATTCAAATGCGCCCGCTAACGTTATATCCTCCCACAAGGAAGGGCGTTTGCTAGAGGGTTGCAGATATGGCAGAATCTTTCGCTCTAGAAGCTGGGCGGCTTCTGCGTTCTCACCGCGCCAGATGAGCAGTTTGGCATATAGCATAATCGCATGAGGGAATTCGTCTTTGAGAGCCAAGTCTTTGACCTGCGCTATGCCCTCGGTGTTTCGGTAAATGTCCACACCTGGCGTGCTGATATACCGGTTCACGAGGTGAACAATGGCTCGGCGCGAATGTGCTTTTGCGCAGCCGGTCAACGCCCATTGGTAGACGTGGTGGCCTTTTTGAAGATCTGCAAGAAGGATCGAGATTCGATAAATGGCGTCGACATCTATAACAAGTGCATAATCAGTATCGAACCATTTAATCCGTAGCATTTCACTGTATACCAATTGAAACTAAACTCACCTATTGAGATACTCCGAACAAGACTTGCGGTAGGGACCTGCGAGTGCGATAGCCTGATCAACTGTTCACCCACGGACACGAACGTCGCCAAGTTGACGCCCGGCGGTATGGTACTTTCATAAGCTTCATACATTTTGCGTGCGAATTGCCTGAACTCAGCCAACGTTGGTTCAACGTGCGCAGTAGAGTATCTATTCCAAAACCCATCACGGTCTATTCTAAATCCATCTTCGGTGACCAACACATGCTCGGGTATCACATTCTGTCTTCGAACAGATGGTGCTCGGCGAGAAGGCCTGACAGCTGATCGATTTTGAGTGGTGTGGAAGGGTCGTTTCGATGTAGTTGTGTTGCTATTGGTGACAGCTCGAGCGGTGCAAACTTGCGCGCCGTGGTGACGCAAGACGTGGGCTTTTGGAGAGAGAACTTGGTGTAATCGACACCATTGTAACGGCAAAATCAATGGTCTGGCCATGAAAACGAGTGAGGGAAATCGTGGGGGTGGTAGGGTGAGGGGAGGTTTTCTCTGAAGTTTTGGAGTTCGGGAACTTCACCAAACTGCTCCGACATTTAGATCTACCAACTTGACGATACGCCAGAGTAGTATTTAAAGATATTTACTGATTTTAAAGATAATAGAATAGCATCGATATGCTAAATGCATCAATTAACCAAACAAACCCTCTGTACCAGACGGTCTCAGAACACAATGCGTATAATGTACATTTTGCCTTGATCTGCCAGGCCAAACACAATAAATGCTCAACAAGATCTCTCAAAAGCAAAAATTTAAAGAGATAAAGAGAGAGGAAAAGACCAAAGCAACAACATCCTCCCCGACTCTCTTCCCAATCTATCCGCTCCCCGTGCCTAAATAATAACACAGCTTTTACTCCATAGTCGCCTTGGCACCGATCGCCTTGAACGTCGCAATGAGCTTCTCCGCCTCCTCCTTGGGCACAGACTCCTTCAGAATCTTGGGTGCAGACTCGACGAACTTCTTGCTGTCCACCAGCGACAGGCCAAGCATGGTCTTGATCTCCTTGATGACCTTAGGCTTGGAGGTAGGCTCGAAGGACTCGAGCTTCAGGTTGAACAGCGTCTTCTCGGCAGCGGCGGGAGCAGCCTCCTCCTCCTCAACAGCAGCAGCGGCCGCACCGGGGGCACCACCAGCGGCCATAGCGAAGCCGCCAACGGGAAGGTCGGGGATGTTCAGGCGGGTCTGTGCAAACATTTTGATTAGCAATAGTTCGGACAAATATGTCAATTGAGTAAAAGGATGATGTAGATAGAGAGGTATGCACGGTCCGCATATCCTGCTTAGAAACCCATCGATTATGTGTAGTTTGTCGAACCCACCTTCAAGCTAGACACCAGGTCGGCAGTCTCGAGCAGCGTCAATGTGCTGATCTGGTCGACAATCTGGGAGATCTTGGGGTTGGTAGCAGCAGCAGGGGCTGCCTGGGTGGATTCGCATCGTCGGTTGCTGGGTGTGCGACGGGCTGTGAGGTATGTAGCGGAGGCCCCGATGCGCAGGGAGGACGGGCGGACGGAGCCGGAGAGCTGTCTAGCGCAGCGGGCTGCGACTTGGGTGGAGAAGGACATGGCGGAGGTGAGAAAGAGGCGGGAAGCTCGAGAGAAAGGAAAATTAGACGAAAGTGGTGGGGATTGGAATCGCGGCTCGTCGATACCAAGACCGAAAGGAAACACACGAGGAAAATCTGGGAGTGGCACGTGACGTATAATGCCTCAGGCATCTTTGTCTATCTAGCATGAACGGCCGAAGCACCAAACGTATGATCAACTCGATTATGATATTCTTGTATGAGTTCTTTCATTATAAGAGATATTTGTAGTAATATGGAAAGAGAGCAAAGCAAAGAAAAAATACTGGAAGAGAAACGTAGTCCAATTTACAATGGTTCTCAAAAAGCGTATCATCGTACGAAGATCTATAAGCCTCATATTATCAAACAGCATCCAGACCCTCATCGCTCCTTTTTTTTAAATTAGTCCTGGTCCCAATCACCTCCACCCTGCGGTGGCTTGGGGCCTCCTGCCTGTCTCGAGACAATGATCTGGTCGACGCTCAGCACCGTCCGGGCAGCCTCACTGGCCAGACGAATCGCAGACATCTTCGTGGCCATAAGATCTAGAATACCCTCCTCGACAGTGTCCAGGGTGCCGTCAGATTCGCCAATCTCAAGGTCCACACCGGTAGTCCAGTGTGGTTCCTCCTCTTCAGACGAGCTGCCCTCCCCCTCATCCTCGGAAGATGATTCGCCAGGGGCAGTGGCGCGGTGGTGTGCAGTGTACAGACGCGAGAGAACTTCGGTGGCATCTAGACCGGCAGACTCGGCGAGTGTGCGGGGAATGACCTCGAAGGCCTCGGCGAACTTGCGGATGGCGTACTGGGGCAAACCAGGGGTTCGGTCGGCGAAGTTGGAAATGCGCTCGACGAGCTGGATCTCCGTGGCACCGGCACCGGGCACGAGACGGGGGTCCTTGGTGATGGCCTTGACGACGTTGACGCCGTCGTCGATGGCACGCTCGACATCCTCCAGGTGGTTCTGGGTGGCACCACGTAGGACAATGGTTGCTGTACGGGTAATAGCGTTAACATCCTCCTGACGGAAGACAGTCACTCGATCACCGCCAATCTCGGTCGTCTCTACAACGTCGATATGGCCCATCTCATCGGGCATGGGGGCACCCAGGCGAGCCAGAGGTGTGGCACCGACAACGCGGCACAAGCGGCGGAGCTCGAACTTGGACAGAATCTTAATGACGAGGATATTGAAACGGTTGAGGTAGTGCATGGCCAAGTCGCCAACAGTGGAGCCAGCAACGACCACACGGAGGCCGGAATCGTAGAGCTCCTTGATGGCAATCTCCAGACGATCCTCCTCGCCCGCGGTGAAGTCCATCATCTCCTTGGCATTCTTCAGGAGAACTGTGCCCTTGGTCTCGGTCTGGCTGATATCGATGGGGCAGCTGAAAACGCCGACCTTGGCCTTGCTGGCCTTCTTGATGGTTCCATCGGGCTCCCGGGGGAAGACCATACCCTTCACCACTTTCGACTGTTCCAAGCTACCGCCCATGATCTTAACAACTCGCACGTTATCGACGTTGAAGTTAACGGGGTTCTTGGGCAGCACAGCCAGAACCGCCTCCGCAACCAACGCAGCCAAAACATCCTCCGTACCAGACTGCTTAGCAGCCACCACCGTGCGGAGAGCCTTGCTCAACTCTGTTGCCGATCGCATATCCTGGAGTCTGTCGACCTCGAGCTCTAGATGGAATCAGAAACGTTCCCTCATTTGTATATCGACAAACCAATCATGGGGGCAAAACATACCCTCTAGAACCGACAAGGCAAAGATCTGAGCCTTCTCATATCCGGAAACAATATCACTCGTCTTGAGACCCATACGGATCAACTCTTCTGCCTTCTTCAACAATTCACCGGCCAACACGATAACCAAGTTGGTACCATCGCCCATCTCCGCATCCTGCTGCTGACTCGCCATAACAAGCAGCTTAGCAGCGGGATGAACAACATCCA